CACCCTCCGCCGTCGCCTACAACATCGTCCTCCGCAACGCCGCTCGCTCCGGCGACTTCCCCCTCGCCGCCGGTCTTCTTCACGAAATGCGCCGTTCCGTTTCCCCCGATCGCTTCACATACTCCATCCTCCTCTCCTCCCTCTCCCGCTCCAATCTCCTCGACGCCGCCCTCTCTCTTCTCCCCCTCATGGATTCCGACTCCATCTCCCCCGACCTCGTCCTCTTCTCCACCCTCATCTCCCTCTCCCTCCGCCTCGGCGATCCCTCCAAAGCCCTAACCCTCTTCACCCGCCTCCGCTCCGCCGGCATTACCCCCGACATCATCGCCTACGCCTACAACTCCCTCCTCTCCGCCCTCTCCCGCGCCGGCCAACTCCGTGAAGCTCGCCGCATCCTCCTCTCCGACATGGATGCCGCCGGAGTTCCCCCCGACACCGTATCCTTCTCCACCGTCATCGCCTCCCTCGCCGCTCGCAGCCGCTACCTCGAAGCCCTCTCCCTGTTTCAAGAAATGCGCTCCCCCCGCCGCCGTTTGCCCCTCGACCTCACCACCTGCAACATGATCCTCGACTCCTACGGCCATCTCGACATGGCTCGCGAGGCCGATCGGCTCTTCTGGAGCATGCGCCTCCCCCATCCACCGTCACCTGCAACACCATGCTCCGCGTCTATGGCGAAGCCGATCTCTTCGGTGAAGCCGTGCATCTCTTCCGCCTCATGCAGCGCCAGAACATGGAGCAGAATGTTGTCACCTACAACACCATGATCAAGATCTACGGATTATCTCTCGAACACGAGAAAGCCGGCAATCTGTTCGTCGAAATGCGGCAACGAGGCATGCAACCCAACGCCATTACTTACTCCACCATCATCTCCATCTGGTCTCGCGCCGGAAAAATTCACCGCGCCGCCAAGCTCTTTCAGAAAATCCGTCAATCCGGCGAGGAGATCGACCCCGTGCTATACCAAACCATGATTGTTGTGTACGAGCGAGCTGGACTCGTTGCGCACGCGAGGTGTTTGTCGCAGGACCTCAAAGCGCCGGTAAGCAAAATCAACAAAGACAACGCGGTGGCCATTCTCGCCGGAGCCGGCCGTCTCGAGGAGGCGGCGTGGCTGTTCCGCCGCTCTGAGGTTAAAGACAAAGAAGCCTTCCGATCCATGATGGTTCTGTTCGCGAGGAACAGGAAGCACGGCAATGTCGTGGAGGTGTTGGATCGGATGAGAGCCGGAGGGCATCTGCCCGACTCGGACATGATCGCCATGGCTCTGAATGCTTATGGGAAGCTGCAGGAGTTCGAAAAGGCGGAAGCTTTGTACAGTGAAATGGAAGGGGAGGGATTTGTGTTGGCCGATATGGTGCATTTTCAGATGCTGAGCTTGTTGGGGATGAAGAGGGATTTCAGGAGAGTGGAAGAATTGGTTGAAAAGCTTAGGTCTTGTGGGGATGTTGATGTGAAAGAGCTATGCGTTGCGGCGGCGAATGTGTACGAGAGAGCTAACAGGCTCGACGACGCTGCTCGGATTGTTGCAAGGATGAACAAGAGAAGCTCTGCTGTGGCGAATGTGCGTTAGAGGTCTGTTTGGGCTAGCTGCAGCTTAGCTGCTCATAAAGTTGTTGTGGGGAAGCTGGTTAGCTGTTTATTTTTTACGGTTTGAAAACAACGGTGCGGTAGTTGTTTCTGGACAAATGACCATTCTGATATTGTTTAGTGATAATATTTGTAACATAATTATTCTAGTCATATATTTGATACTTCAGAAGTAAAAATTTACTTTAGAACTGTACAAAAATCCAGATAAACAACTCACTTAACAACGAGTATCAAGTATGCTAAAAAAAGAAATAAACTATCAACACTATAATTAGTAATATGACAATATTGATTTTATAATGCAGATGACGTATGCCACAAGTTACATCGTCATGAGCTACAACCAGCTACAAACACGCCGCTGGCCAACCGCCACCCCAAAGAGGGCTACAATAACAAAGCAAATTTACATATAACAAAGCAAATTTACATACATAACACTCAAAATTTTAGTATGTATATATTCAATATCTAAATTTTTATATTTACATTGTAGATTATTTTGTTATCAATTCTTAATGGATCTCACCGTACATTTGCAAGTCGCAAATAGGTGGGAAAGTGGATGGAGGAGCTTTCAGATTGGTAAAATAGGATGTGGCAAAGAACGAACATGATTGGTATGTAGTTTAGGTTTACTCATATATAATTTATTTTAATTATATGAAATTTTAAATTAGGGTTAGAAATAATGGAGTTGAGCTCGGCTCATTCTCGTCTCGAGCCCGTGCTTAATTAATTAATAGAGCTTGGAATTTAGCTCGAGCATAATTCTATTAGTTCGAGTCTACTTCTGAGTTATTTGTTCGTAATGAGAGAGCAAATAATATTAGCCCGAGCTAATGTTCAAACGAAATGACATTTGATACAACTAGAGTGTAGTTTGTTTAGCAAATGGATGAGTAAGATCAATAAAGCACACAAGGAAAATATATATATATATATAGATTATTGAATGTTGCATAATGATCATTATGGGAAGGTTGTGCCCCTTATTATGAGTTATCATCAGTTGTTCTTAGAATATTGTGCATTAAATCAGACTGTAATATACCTCAAAATATATTAACTAAGTAGCATGATTATTGAAGGAGATAAATTTAAAATAAATGTGTCTGTGTGTGTGTGTCTATATATATATACTATCACGGGTGTCAATATTTTGGTTGTAGTAGATGATATTCTGATAGATATGAAACCACTTCTTGCAAAAGAAGAGTGTACTCAAGTATTGGAGGCGTGTCAAGATCAAGTTGTGAAGCAGGCTGAAACTGCTCAGCAAGTTATGGATCAACATACACATCAGGGTGAGTTCTCCATTGATGATCAATTTATTGATCAGATGGGACTTGTATTGGAAGATAAATGGATTGTTTATAAAGCCAAGAAGAAGAAAAAAATGATGCTAGAATTTAGGAATTTACAGGATGATTGTTTGATAAATTCGGGTGGAAGCCCACATAATAGTTTGTTGTTGGACTCTCTGTAGAACCAGGAGGAGAGGAAAACCTACCCACCATGATTATTTTTTCTTCTCAAACGAATGCACTGATTTTTATATCTTTACCTGCAATTTTCTTTTTTGAAGATTATTTTTTGGGTTGTGTAATCTCGTAGGTGATTTTTTTTGGGTTTTGTTAGAATTACCTGCCCACTTGTACATGTTTGCATATCAATGAAAAGTACTTTTTTCGACAATATATATAATCGGTGTCATGGTTAAAATTGATATTAGAGAAGATAGATTATTATATTAATGAATGTATGTTGTATTATGGGGCTGACATATTTTTGATGTAAAATACAACTGAGACTTTTTATATCACATAATAAATAACACTATTTTTTATTTTGAAAAGTGAAATACACATTTTCATGCATATG